CAGGTTCATCTGGCAACACCAGTCCAGATGTATACCATCTGAGAAAGCAACAGTGAGGAAAAGGTATGTTTGCTGTTTGGAGGCTTGCAGGTGTGTCAAGTGCTTTCCGAAAGCAATCCGTAAGACGTCCTTGTGCTTCAAAGCCAGACTGCTTTTCTTTCTTGTGCGTGGACGCGCTGAAGCTTTCGGCTTGGAATGTTTAGCTCCGGCATCTGATTTTGCAGCCAAGATGTGCCAAACATCGATCCAGATAGCCAAGAAGACTCTGTATGACAACGACGACAACAAAATTGTATGAACGCAGCTTCCGTTTCGAAGACCGCTCAAATGGTGTCAAGTATTAAAAGAAATCAGTGTTTTTTCAAGACGTGCCAAGACCCGCCATCATGTTGATTTGCCATTGATTGCAGGGCATCCGTTGGAGGCCCCAGACCATTGCTTTCGGTTTGAAACTAGAAACAAGCTCTAGATTTCATGCCTGAGATTCTCGTGGGACAAGGAACCGCGTTTTAATTGGACGGCCGTGCCTCGGCAGGTTGCAACAAAGATCATGTACCGTCGTTGGACTCACTTCGAGACAAAACCATGCCGGTGTTGTCAGAAACATGAACCGCGAAAAACAATAGGACAGATGGTTTCATTGATCGCAGGTTTCTGTTTTGTTAACACATGGGTGTGTATCCAAAAAAAGGAGACCCCCAGTTCGACCTCCTGGCAGGTTCGGGAAACAGACCAGACCCCGTTTAGGAGATCTTTCAAAGTGCACATCGTACATGTTTCTTCGCTTGTCATGAACGGATCACCGCATGCCGGACCGGGCGCGATCAGTGACGTGACCAGAATTACGTCATCGACCTCCCTGAGTGAAACTCGATCGTTCAGGCGATGCCCAAGAAAAGACCCAAGAAGCACCACCAGCTCGAAGCACCGCCCACGCCTGAGAACACTGTTGGACTTCGTTCACCTCGTGAACATAGCAAAGCCCGGACCAAACATAAAAACATGTTTTAATGTTGTTTTCTCCAAGACAAGATTCACCGGGAACATCACGTTGTCGTGACCGATGAACCGGTCAGGCCTGAGACGGATCTGAACGAACTCCGCGAGGCGCTGGACCGTCCCGGTTCCGGACCACCGGTCGAAGCAGTCCCGTTCGTCTAGGCCTAACAAGGCTGGTCCTTGTAGGCCTAGCAGTAAGCCTTTCAGGCTCCCCGTTTCAAGTTGCCCAAATGGCAGATCTCATTGGGCCCTTCACAGTGGCATGGTCGATGCTGGCATGCTCCATGCCACGTGTGGCAGGCCTTGTCCTCGAAGGTCTCGAGGACTTCGACGAGCTCGCTCGGTTCCCAACCGGTGAGTTCTTGGAGGTTTAGCCTGGGTAGTTCGGCATCACCGGTCCAGAGGCAAAGTCGTTGCACCGTGTTCGAGCCCGAACATGTTCGAACATTTTCCTGCGACATGCTGTGTACAGTATTGCAATTCAAAAGATCAGTGGCATCCATTTCTGAAAGGACGTGGGCCGACCTCGGGCTCGACAGGGAGGCCCCCCCCCGCAATTGTCTAGTGTTCAAAGGACATGTCGGACCAAGGGTATCAATTCTCAAGGCAATACCTCAAAAGTATGAGAGCAGTTTCAAACATAAAATACATATATGTACATATATTTTGTCAATCAATATATATATATAAATATATATAAATCAGACAAACGGCCAATCAACGTAAAACAAGTCGGTCTTTTTTGCCTCTAATTCGAAAATCTATAGTTTTGGACGAAGCTGCACTTCTTTGGCTCTGCTACTGTTTCTGTCAGTTGCATTATTTTTTCCACGAAGTGAAGAGAAGAGTTCGAGCTTCAAGTGGCATATGCCTCTCCACTACTAGGGCGCACAAAGCCGATGCCCAGTTTCATCGCAAAAAAAATGCTTTCCACCTTGCAAAAAACGAGGGAAACCGGGAAACCACTGCTTTTTTGCCAAACAACGACAATTAAATAATGATCAATGTTCAGGAAACGCGCTCGTGCACGCACACCAGGTGGCACAGTTTTGGCTGAGGGATGCTTATATAGGCATATCCTTTTTCATCCGGTGTTCTCTAGTGTTTTCCTTCTTGTTCGGTTTCCAGTAGCATGCCCTCTGAGGAGTGCGAAGCTGGGCGTGCCCGATGGCTCAGTGTTGTAAGTGAAGAGTGAGAACTTGTTTATTCCAGCTTGAACAGCTTAAGATAAGGTGAGCTCCAGCTTCTTCCATGAGATCTGAAGAGTATCATATTATGAAGATATGTTATTGTCCTATTTGATCTTCATGATATTACACTTATACGTCTTGGTTTCGCGACTTGCACCTTTTTTTATAAACAAACATGTTGTGTTTCTTTACCCTTTTGCCCGAGAGGGGTCCAAAGCTCCATGGAGCTCCATGGGTGAAGTCGGCGTCAGCGTCTTTCGGTCTTTGGATTCGGCGTCGGCGTCTCCGTTCTTTTCCCCGTCTCTCGCCGAGTGAAGAAGGGAGGCACGGGATTCTGTCAGATCTAAGCATGAAGCATGAAGAAGATCTTCTATAGGGATAAATAGGCCTCTTTTTCTTGTGGATCAAGTAGGCACCGTTCGAGCGACCACTGTGTTCTTTGGATCAGCGCGCTTGGACTTCCTCAGACGGTCCACCTCTTTGGGGCTTCGGCTTCGCTGCTCTGCCGGGGACTCGCGCGCCAGTGAGGAGACAGAAAGCCAAAGGCCAGTCGACGGCACCACCGCAGTCTGTCAAGAAGGCGGGTTGGGGATGGCCAGCAGTGGTGTAGGACGCTCTAAAAGTTACTAGTTTACCGTTTTCTAACTGGTGCTTGAACCCAAGGCAGTTTCATCAAATCGCCCCATGAAGAAAAGCACTGAGCCATGCAAGACCTTGTGGAGAGCTGTCCTAGGCTGTTTCACACTTGTACTTTGCCAACCAACTGCTGTTTCATCACATCACGCAAGCTCACGCTGCTGTTTCGTGTGACATCCTGTGATGCCCGCGGCCACTTTTGGGGGGGCTTCAAAAGGACCAAGTTGGTAGAGAGAGGCGGCAGAAGACCCTTTCCTTTTCGCTCGGCTGCCGTCATGGCGGAAACGAGCAAGACTTTAAGGTTCACACGGATGTGCAAGTATTGGGCTTCCAAGCGCTGTTTCATGGGCGAGACTTGCAACTTCGCACACTCCGAGGAAGAGTTGCGACCGGCACCCGACTTGATGGCCACCAAGCTTTGCTTTCAATTCTTGTCGAAGGGCATGTGCAGTAAGGGCTACGCATGCACCTTTGCCCACAGCAAGAAGGATCTACGGCCTTCACCGAAAAACACCTATCGCTTTGAAGAGATGGAGCAGATCCGGTGCGAGGTGAAGGCACCTCAGTCCACCTCAGTCGATCAGAACCCCAGTCCACCTCCAGGACTAGGGGTACCACGGTGGCCGTCCGCGCCCATGGGCTCCGATTCGGAGTCCAGTGTGGCATCAACATCCGCCTCCAGTGTGAAGCTCGAGAAGCTCGAGTGCCCCCCCCGCAACTCACCGTGCTTTTCCCGCGCCAGGCAGAGCTTTTGGCTGTGAAGCGCGAAACGAAGATAGACCTAGCAGCTCCGACTGTCATGAACAGTGATCAATGGGTGTGGGTCATGTGGTTTTCTATGGATTTCTCCATTTACATGGAGAAACGATCCAAGGGTGCTGTTTGAGCACCCTTATCTTTTCAAGTGCTGGGGGAAGCCAAGGCAAGTGCCTTGGCCTGACAGTGGTCAAGCGGTCACTTGTGACAGTGGCTGACCCTTGCCAAAACTGATCTGAGATTGGATGGGGCGGGGATGCCAGGCCAGGTGCCCTTGTTTTTTCATTCCTCATCCGATTGCCAGGCCAGGTGCCGCCCTGCACGAGATTCTTTAGGTTTCACTGACCAAGTGCAGAGAGAACGCAACCAACAGAACGCAGCCAAGCTCTTGTGCGACTGGATGTTGCAGCAGATCCCACCAGACAAGACTTTTCGAATGTTGTCCTTCAGCAAGAGATGCTACTCCAACCATGGTTCCTTTCCGTTCCTTTAACCTTCAACAAATAATGGCACCTCATGCACTCATTGCCATAGACTCTAAGAGTGTGAGATTTTAGATTCAGCCCTTCTGCCGGACCTCAGGGCAGCTTCGACGGTGCCAAGCTGGCCTTGGAATTGTTGGAGGCGAAGATGTTGCCCAGAACTTCTGTTTTGACTCTTTTTCCCCCAACCTGGTAGTCATAATCCACTACCAGTTCGGGGTAAAGTGAGTCATGACTGGACTCTCAGGGTTGGGGATGGAGATGTCTGCTGGCCTGGAAGATCTTAAGATCCTGATGACTCAACAAGAGCCACGAGCCACTCAAGCACCTGCGGGGCTCCCCACTCAACACTTGGAGGAAGTAATTAAGCTTCGACGGGAGCGCTTTTTTGCAGGTCACCTGGTGTGCAAAGCGTCACACTGTTTTCAGGGTACGTAAGTCTGACACTTGCATTGACAGGGGCCGGTATCTCTGAAACTTGCATTGACAGTGCCTAAAAGCCAACGTATTTGCAAAGATTTGTGAAGACTTCTGATTTTCAGGCCGTCATCACACCCTTCTCTTCATGTTCATAGTTGTGTTTCAACTGGATCATGTTTTGGCCCTCTAAGGTTTTCATCTGCACTCTAGACACGTCAGCGCGGTGTCAGCCCGGTTTCACGGGTAGAAACCAGCAGCTGGAGGCGTCCACGACACAGCTCCTGCGACGTTGAGGCCTCGGATTTGAGAAAGCACTGCAGTGCCAGATGTTACAAGGAGACGTCACATGTCATGATATCATGATATCATCATATCTCATCGTCCGATGATATGAGATGCCTTCACCCAAAAGCATTGGTTGCCACATCCCAAGTTCTCAGCGACTTTTGCCCAAAAAAGATGCCCCCCAAACGGCCACTTCTTCACTTCCTCTTTCGCCTGAGGGAAAGGCTGGTTTCGGGACGTTCGTTTGAGACGTTCCGCGGATGCCTCTTGGTTGGGATAGGGGGAGGGCCGGTGCACGGTGAGAGCTGGCGGGTGAAGCACGCTCGCGCTAGCTCCGTGGAGGGTGGGGGAGAGTGGGGAGTGAGGCGTTTCTGCGCAGCAGCAAGCTTTTTCAGAAGGCTTCAGCCAGCAGGAGCCTGAGAAGTGGTAGACGTCATGTCGTTGCGATGAGCCGAAGATTTGTTTGGTGGACTCACATTCTGGTGGATCGGAGAAGATGCGGATGAAGTGGGCAAGCGAAAATCAACTGGAGGCTTCAGATCCCGGAAATGAGAAGGTTTTGATTGACTTCACGGACCTGAAAATGAGTGAGGTGCTCAATGGAGATCCCGGAAATGAACGCAGGAGTTCATTTCCTTAAGACCTCACCTCTAGATCCAAGATGAAAAAAACCTTTGATGTTCATCTTGCAGGATAGGGCCCCACCCACCTGAAGATAGTAGTAGTGGTCTAGATCGTCCGCACCTGTCGACAGGATGCTGGTAGGAATAGTTCTTGTGGCTGCCATCGCCCTCGAGGTCAGTCAGCCCAGACGCTACTTGAAAAGCCTTCGGTGGCTGAGCTGGCCGCATACGAGGAGGTCAGAGATCAGCCCCGAAAAAGCTTGGGGAGCTGCCTTTTTTTCATGGAAAGTGGAGTGAAAAGCACCTGGTTTTGGTCTTCGGACCCTTTGGATTTCCACGACCCTTCTGAAATCGGGACAAACTGGCCGGATTTCCACGTCACCGTTTTCTCTTTCCAGGTAGTGTACATGCATGTGGTACTGTTATAGTTTGTCTCAAGACATTTCAAGACAAAGTTCCCAGATTGATGTTTAAGGCTAGCAGCAGAAGAAGCACATCTTATCCAGTGAAAATCCCAAAGGGGTGAAAGGAGATGAGGATGGAGGGCGATGGAGGGTACGTCTTCGAACATCTTCGAGCCTACCACGACCGAACTCGGGCACTCTGAGCGCTTCTGGAGGATCGAAGAGCCCAGACTTGAACCCGACTTCGAAACGACCAGTCAAAGCAGCATAGCAACATGCGCTTCGTTGTTGAGAGCTTCAAGTTGGACATCTAAAGCGTTCTCATGTGTCCTTTTGACATGGCTATAGCATTCTTAGTTCTTACATCCATGTTTTTCCTTTTGAGCTTTCAAAGCCCACGACAATGAAGCCATTCGCCTCCGATCCTCTTCAGGTGTCGTTTTCGGGGCCAAGGAGCCGACCTTCGATCGGAGCGGAGCCGACCGTGTGACGTCTGTAGGAGCTCCGTGTGCACCTCGAGGGCTTGAGGAAGAAGCTTGGCTCGGCCCCCCAAATGAGCTCAGTGGTCGACCGCCAGTGCTGCAGGTCTCTCTCGTGGTCGACCGCGCGGTCGAGCAAGCAAGACGTCGTCGCGCGGTCTCGCGCTGCTTGGTCATCGGGATCACGCTTTGTTATGCTTTGTTTGTTTTCTTTTCTTTTTTTCTGGGACGTGCTGGTGATTTGGGGACCTGTAGAGGCCAAATTTGATTGAAACTGAGTGAGTTTGCTTGGAATGCGGGTGACTGCGCAGAGAAATACCGAACTCCGTTGTTTGCATGAAACCTCAGGTGCTGTTCCCATGAACGAAAGCCGCGAGATCAGTGGGGAGCTGAGCCGCGAACCATATGTTTTGCATGAGAGACATGCCACACACACTCTGACACTTGTATTCAGTTAACTCAGTTCCCAGGTCAAAAATGGTGAAGGAACGGCAAGGTGAAGAGTCCGCAAATGTGTAGATGTTTTAACAAAAAAAATTGTCACGTGACTGCGGTGGCGCGCTGCGAAAACTCTCGGCGGCTGCAAGTGGCTGAGGAACCAGTGTTTGAGGGGCAGTAGCATGAAGAACCATGGAAACAAAGAACAGCGGCAGGGTGGACCAGTGGAGTCATTGTGTTGAAAGCAGGTACGTCAGTTCCGCGTCCGGAACTGATATCAGTACCGCCACAGAAGCCTCTTCGTTGGACTGTCGCTTCTGTGGGGTAGACAGTCCCCCTGCCTGTGAGAGGTGGTGGTGGAAAACCCTTTGTCCAGGGGTGGACACACACACACATCATGACTTACTGTACAAATTTGGGCGCCAGAACGTGCAAGACTGAGGTGAATAATGGTAACCACTCCATACCGCTGGCCAAATTGATTGTATATAATCATAGAGCCAGGACGCATGGTTCGCCCCCACCAATCAACTGTCGGTGGCGAAACCTGCCTTTTCCCCCCGCCGTCCCTGACGCCCTTCTCTCCGAGGTTTGAAGTCCAGCGGACCGGGGCAAGCCATCGGAGCGAAGCTGAAGGAACGCCCGCGCGCCGGACCCGGCAGCGTGGTCCCGGCGAGGTCGAGAGGTCGGGCGAGTGAAGGTCTGGAAGATGAGGACCGGTCTTTTGTTCGAAGAGGGGGGGAGGGTTTTGGGGCGTTTTTCCATGTGTGGGAGCCATGAGTGAGCGCAGGAACGAGACACATGAGTGAATCCTGACTCATGGCAAGTCATACCCCCCCAAAACGCTGAGCCGCACCTGATGTGCCGAGCTCGGCGACGCTGGTACATCCCCAATGCATCCAATCTGCACCAGTCAGTCCCTGGTTGGAGTCTGAGTCATATTCCATGGTTACGTGGATGACATGGTCCCAAAAAGAAGACAACTTTTCTTGATATACATATTATCATATTATATACAGTACTACTTTTACATCATTTACGAAAAGGGGGCTCCCAAAACAGATCAACACGAGGTCAGACCTGTTTGCCATGCGCCGAGCCTCAGGGCCTCAAGAAAAGGGCTGTTGAGCTCGAGAAGAAGCCACGCTCGGTCATCAAAGGAGCCTTGGCATGCCTTGGCTGATGTCGTTTGCCGTGGCCGTGCTAATCAATGCCTGAATTGATGCTGTTCTCAGTTCCACAGGACTTTGTTTTTGGAATTTCTTGGAATTTGGATGAATTTAGGCGTTCCAATCATCTAATAATTTCGATGAGAATGCTTCATGCTCGTCGATGGACCCCAGCAAGGTGCTGTGCGGTCTAGCTGGCATGTTTGTCGTTTTCTTTTGATTTGCAGGTACTTGCAGTGTCTCTCTTTCAACGGCAGTCATTTTGACTTGGGAACCAACATCAGTGGAGCATTGTTGGAGTATGTTGGTGCACTTATTCTTCCGCACCAGGAAGCAGCGGAAGCCGAAGAAGCTCAAGGGTTCTGGCCCTGAAGATGCGCAGTGAGGTTGACGGGGAACGAGACATGGAGCATCAGTGGATTTTGCAGCCATTGGCTTGCAAAATGCAAGGCTACTCGTATCATTGATTTAAGATGATTTAAGCTATATTATATCTCCCTTGCTGAACATATAAAGCAACATCTCAGAACAAACCATCCGTCCAGTTGATGGGATGTGAGCCATGTGAGCCATTCAGTCTTTAATCGTGGTCCCCCATGAGTGACCTGACCCGTGTCCTGTCGCTGCCACTGGCTGCGACAGGCTGCGACGGATGACCATCTCCACCTCCACCGTGCTGACAGCGGCAGAAATGACGGAAGGATCGATCTGCCAGCGGTGAAATCAGACATGAAAAGAGAGACTTCGCACCGGATTGCGAGAACTCTGCTGTGAAGCACAATGGTTCAGATGGTTCTGGTTCAGATGTGTTTTTTTCTTTGCTCGCTTGCCATGGCTTGACCTTTGGAGATTTTTCCCTCGTTCTTGCAAAAGAGTCTAGGCCATTGCTATGTATGAAGGGGCTTTCCAGCAAACATTCCTCCTGAACGACCAAGGGAGATTGGGCCATGTTTGGCCTTGCACGTTGGGTCACGTTCGGTTCTTGAGCTTCTCTACAAGGAACAGCAGTGACACACTCACGGCTCATTACAGACTCATCGCAACGTGCGGCTCATCGCACGGTTTTCCTGACTTGAAGGAGCATGCGCGGAGCATGCGCCATTGATTGGATCAAGCTCCACAGCTCCCGAGCCATTGAAAGTCAGTTCCAAGAGTCCAGACGGGCGATGGACACATCTGAGAGAATGTCTGAAGGCAAGATTCATCAATCTGCATTTATAAGGAGATCTTCTATAGGCCAAGCTGCGATTTTTTTGGGTTTCCGGGTTCAACTTCCCCATGGATGGCAGACCTCTATGCGCTTCTCGGGCTAAGCCCCAAAGCGGCCGTGGGTGCTTCTGACCTCCGCAGCGCTTATCGTCGCAGTGCCTTGCAAGCGCACCCGGACAAAGGAGGAAGTGAGGACTGACCGGGTTGTCCCGGACTCCCAGGATTTGGCACCCGACAAGGATGGACTGTAGGTTCCTCGTGATCCTCTGCAAGACTAATAAAGAGACTAAGGGCTTTGAGGGCCTAGTTTTGCAGGTATAACCGCATAGCCCAAGAAACTGACATTGTCTTCGGTAGTTCGAACCAAAGGGAGCAGTCCTGAGTTCTTGGATTAGCTGCCTCTTGCTTGGTTTCGGATTCCTCTGAAAGATGACCATGTCAAAACGCTACAGAGGTGTGGTCCACGTCAGGCGGATCACAAAAGGGTGGAGAATCTAGAGATGTACTGTAGGTGTTTCTTGTTCAGCCAGGCAAGGAGCCAATCTATTAATTATGAGTCTTTGATTCTCATGGTCTTTTTCATCCAACCCCCACACTCGTGCTCGGCAGTTCTTCGGTTCTACCGGTCGTGAGGAGCAGTTCCATGCTGTCTTGACTGCCTTTGAGGTTCTCTCGTGCAGGATAGAGACGTTCGCTCGGGGTGATTTGGTTTGCGTCACCGAAAAGGTCATCAGTCAGAAGATCTTTGGGCAGGTAACTGTACATTCAAGATGCCAAGAGCTTGAACATTCAGATTGATGACTGGTGCGAAAAGCAAGGAATGAGGGAATCAGATCCCAATATAGATTCTTTGCTTATTCCATTCCCTTATTCCCTTCTAAGCACCCCTCTGTTAAAAAATAGAGGTGGTTTCCCACGGATGAAATCTCCGCCCCGACAGTGTCCTTTCCTGAGTATATAAAGGGACTTTGGGGCAATCTTCTTTGGAACATCCAGATAATATCAGATAATTCCTCAGCAAAGCTGGTGGTATGTGGGATTTTCCGAAGTTCTTTGGGTCACTCTGGCCAACCCACACGGTCAGTCGGATCAATTTTGTTTCGTTTTCTCTGTCATGATATCGTATGTTCGTTTTCGACCGAGATGGTGGCAAGATGGGGTCTGATTTGGTCACAATCCATGGAAGATGGTGGCAAGACTGCTGACGGCTGAGATTTTGGACCATCTACAGTCAACCGTTTGAAAAGAACTGGTGCAATACTGTAGAAGAGCCTAGATGAATCACAGGACGCCTCCCTATTTCTAAGGGACAACATATGTGGGCGCCTATTATTTTGGTACAGTTTTCTTACAATCGCAATAATTGATTCTGTAAAACAGCCATGAATCCAACAGACTGGTCCAAGTCCTTCCCCTCAAGACACGTAGACGTCCCGGACGTGATCTCCGGAAGTGCCTTCATCTACTGCGCCTTCATCTACTTCCTGCCCAAGCCTTCCAAGTAAAGCCCGGCCGCATCGGGCTCTTCGGTGTTACACCTACCTCCGCCTCTCCCACCTCCATGTGTGGTGGCTGCGTGACCGGCTGGAGGACCTCCCGGGAAGCCTATGATGCGGCCAGAGCCCGTGGGGCTTCGGCCGAAGCAGCCTTGGCAGTGGCCACAGGAGGGGTTTGGCCAAGAAAGTCGGAAACCGTGTGGAGGGTTTGGGGCCAAGAAGGAAGATAAGGAAGCCACCCGCATTTCATGGGTGATTGATGTAGACTCAATGTGGACATGAACCATTAACTCCTGTAATTACATAAGATTGGAGATCAGAAGTGCATTGTTGGTGGTAAGAACATGAAAAGGCTAAAGAGGCGGCACATGAAGAAATCCTGCCGCAGCTGAACTACTGTTAGGAGAAGACACTGACTTGTTTAGCCACGGAAGACTTGTTTAGCCTGTTTAGCCACCTGCGCTGTCACTGATAGGTGAACCAGTTCATGCCTAAAGGCTTGACAGAAGCGATAGCTTTTGGCCATCAGGCATCACTTCCAAACTCATCCTTGCCGACGGGCATCGTGACGATTCGCGACGGCTGGTGTTGTCCACAACATACTAAGTGACTGAGAAAACCAGATTTTCAAGCATCCACTTCAGAAAAAAGGAAACATCAAGACAATTGTAGAGTACAGTCCAAAAAGGCCCCAAGATTTGCTCCAATCCGCTGGCTGGCACAAGGGTGCTCAGCAATGGCCTGGAGGATTCGTGCCTGTTCTCTCCATTTGCCGCATTGTCGGTTTTGGCATCTTGGCACCGGGCGCCGGGCCTTCGGTGCACCAGCTTGGGCGGTCGTGGAGCTTCGGCGGATGGTGGAGGAGGCGAGAACACCGCGGAAAGCCAATCCAGGCAAAAGACACCCAGCAACTTCAAGGGCGTTGGGTGATGGCACGGGTACCTGGCGGTGTTGTGGCTGTGGTAGTCAGAAGATGGTAAAAGACTTCTACGTGACTACAGGTGGCAAAGTGTGTTCTTTGTGCACCAGGTGCGAGAGAGCAAGAAAGGCCGCTTATAGAAGAACTCTTCGTGGGAATGCAATTGTTTTGGTCAACAGTGCCAGGACTCGATCCAAGTTGAAAGGTTGGATTTGCAACTTGGACGTGGACTTCATCCTTGATCAGATTCTTCGGCAGCAAGGCAGATGTGCCTACTCAGGAGTTAAGATGGAAATGCTGTTGCCCCACTCAGACTGGCGCATGTCACTGGAAAGGCTGGACAATAGCCTTGGGTATGTGCAGGAAAATTGTGTTCTCATTGCTGCTGAGTTCAATACTCCGGGAACAATTAGCAAATGGGTGGCATTAAACGAGAAATCTGGATCTTCCCAGTGGTCCCAGGAGAAGGTAGAGAAGCTGCCATTTGAGCGGTCATTGAATGTGGATTTACAGAATTTGAACAAGCAGATCAAGGCAGCACGCTTACCGAATCAAAGGCTGCTGATTGCGGATCTTCGGAAGCCCCTTGAAGAAAAGCCAAGCACAGGCCAACATTTGCAGTGGCCAAGGTGTGGGTGTTTCAACCATCCAAACTGCGATGCTTTGAATCAAACTAGGACTGGAGGCTTGCAATACTACCGTAAGGAGCGCCGACTCTCTTACAGAATAGCGTACCGCATGACCTTGCGCGGTCACATCGTGGACTTGCTGGCGAATGCGCGCAGCAGACACAGACGTGGCAAGTGGTTTGGAGACTTTGAGCTTGAATTGGATGCCGTGCTGGATATGTTGTGGTCACAGCAAGGTCGATGCTTCTACTCCGATGTCCCATTGCGTTTTGCTCAGTTCAACGTTGATTGGATGATGTCGTTAGAGCGGCTAAACAACGACAAAACATATACCATGGAAAATACAGTTCTGGTTGCGCTTGAATTCAATACATCGGACCATAGCAAGAACAAAGCTTCATCCAGGGTGTTCGGCACTGCTCAGTGGTCCCGAGGCAAGGTTGAACATCTTTGGGGATGTCTAAGCAGGCATGCCTCCACTGAAGCCATCTCAAAAAAACTGCCGATTCACCAGCTTCAAGGCAGCAGTCCCTCAAGTCCCCTGGTGTCACAAAAACAAACACCCTTTCGAGTGCACAGCCTCCAGAACCTCTGATTGCCAACATGCAAACCAGCGTGGTGTGTTTGTATTTCGACCAAGAGACCACCAGACCACCAACCCGCTGATCGATATCTGAAAATCAACAGCCTGTGTAAGGTTTCAAGGTGTCTTTCTTAGCCTTCCTTCGCTCTTATTCTATGAAGTCTCATGTTGGCCTAGAAGGAGTTCTACAATGTTTAATGGCATACTTTGGTTTTCAGAACATCAAGCCCTCCCTTCTCTACCATGGAATGCGTTACAGAACGGGGTAGGTAAAGATCAGGATGTTGTTGCAGCTCTGCTAATTTTGGGGCAGATCTAGTTTCGTTGTGAATATTTCAGGGCATGTGCAACTTTTTGAGGCATTGCGCCCTTGGGCTAGTTTTGGTTGGTTGGCAGTTTTTTGGAGGCTAGTTGAACCGCAATGTTTTCTTGTAGGGGAATGTATGAAGGCAAGAATATGAAGGGAAGAATCCAGATCCTTCAGATCGCCCAACGATAAGAAAAGCCTTTGCAGACCTGGATGATCTCCACTGAACACAAAAGGTTCACAAGGTGTGCCTCGATGATCTCTAGATGCTTCTTCACACCAAACACCGTTTTCAGTTTTATCACATTTTGACTCCACCGGCAGAAAAAGACACCGTCGTTTCATCCTCCGTGTCCTTTCGTCCAATCCGGTTGGGATGTGTCAAGAATTCACAATCCGGCTCCGTCCGAAAAGCACCGGTGTCATTCCTCCAAAACAACAGGAAGCGGGAGTGACGTGTCTCATGTTGTCCATTTGGACATGATTAAACAACCTTTATTGTTATTACTATTAGCATAATACATTTAGTTTTTTAAATAGATCTATCTTGGTCTTGGACTGGTGAATACTGGTGTACGTGATGAACGAT